ACTAGTGTACGTACGCTACGGTGACAGCAGAGAGAGAGAGAGATCTAATTGATACAGTATACGGGCTGTGACAAATAGTCGGCGAGTGGTCGTGGGATTTCAGCATGCATGGCATGTTGTTCTGAAAATTCCATAGCACACTCCCCAAAAATGATAACGCGACCAGCGTGAAAACGATGATGCACTCACCAAATCCTGATGACCTGCAACCCCACGACAGTTCTTACCGTCACTCATATGGTAATCTATGATATACTGTATGCATGTGTGTGTGTGCTCCTGTTGTTCTGTCTCTGATGCTGTATGTTCCAGTTCTTCCAGTAGTTCATGGCTGCCAATCAGGCTCATGAACATCCAGGAGGCGTGGATCTCTGTTGCTTCTGGCACTGGACCATGGCATTTCATACAACACCCATCCAGCGCACTTGTTGGCCGGCGGCCCAGCGGGTAAAATCTAACAGTTTGTTTTCGATGGAGATCAAGCATCATGACTTTAAGATGACCAGCAGTGGACTCTGGGTGGACAATGATGGATTTCTCCCACACTCCTATCGACATCAATCAATGCATGCTATGGTGGAAAATGCTTGCTCAACTCACACGTCTGACGCCTCCCGCGCGGTTTGGCCAGAGGAGATGCGCTTGCGATATGGGCGGGTGCACATGGAAGCCTTGGGTCCCATGTTTCCTGGCGCCAGTACCCCAGCCCAAAAGACTGCCCCAGGCAGTGGAAGTTGCACGTCAAGCAATGGAATATGCCGAAGTTAACAAAGTTTTATCTACAGAACAAAGTGAATGCCTCCACGCATGCAAAAAGCGGGGTGCCTCGCTGTATTTGATGAGTGTTGGCAGTGTTGGAGTTTTTGTGATCCACCTCTCACTCTCCCGCTAGTTGACTGCCGGCATCAGGCGCGAAAACGCTGGTTGAAGCGCTTCTTCGACGTCGGGGGAACCTGATAAAGGGCTTTGCAAGGAAGAGTCCCTGATGCTCCAAGAACTTGATTTTCATGAAGTGCTTTTTATATTGTTTTATACTTGTATATCTGCCGAAGATCTCCGAGATCTCATCCAAAACTCCCACAAGATGGGAGAAATCCGTATCAATCTCTTTTGCTACAACCCTCGTTGGCATCCCTGTCCCGGTCTTCCTTGTCGCGGGAAAATTTGCCCTTGAACCCGTGGGAACTTGGTGTGAGCTTTGTAGACAGGCTTCTGGTCGGCATTCCGTCTACAGAAGCTCACACGTATTTGCGCACCAGAGCTGTTGCAGGATTCTGCTACCCCAATCCAAGCACGCAACGTTGTCAGAATTTCCTCCCTTCGCTGCCTCCCTGCTACCCCAGCTTCTGGTTGACTAGCCTAGAGTCTTACGGCCTGTGCCCATGGTCAACTCCAGTGCTTGTGGCTTTAAACCTGCCCAAGCTTGCAGTCTCCGTCCTGTCTAGTCACTTCTTGCTTGAAATTGAGGAAGACCAATGAGTTACATTCATTGGCCACAGGTTCCTCGCATGATTCCTGCATTCTATTCACCTTGTGGATGTGTGCATGACAAGCATATAAGTCTCATCCTTTATCTAGTCTGTGTTTGATGGAGTTTGCCCAGTCGGCACTCCTGTTGCCGCATGTTTTGTTCACTCTTCTTGACCGGCTGAAGGATTCGCAAGGGCCCAATGACCTCCTGTTGAACCACAACTGAGCCGCTCTAAAAACCTGCCTTTACATCTTAAGTAAGGACCTTGTCATATCGAATTCCGCGTAAGCAAAACCCTGGGTTGCGTAAGACTGCGTAAGCATTTCGCGTAAGCATTTCGGAAGTTTGCTCTGCGTAAGCAAAAGTGAGGGCCGCGTAAGCAGCGCGTAAGGCCTCGCGCAAGGAAAGTGATACGACATAGGGAGTGACTGCAGGTTTTTAGAGTGGCTCAACTGAACCAACATCGTTTTTGCGGAACTGCTTTGCAGCAAACGGCATCACCTGTGACATTTCCAAGATCACGTCCTACGGGGATGTCGTTGAGAAGAGTGTGGCACGCCAGTCTCGTGAGGCAGCGCTTATAGACGATGCGAAAATGAGACTCCTTCCAGATGTCACATGGAGATGTTTTATTGTATTAGATGTAGTAGTTTGTTATGAAAACCTCTGCATTTCTCTGAAACTATGTGACTACTTATGCCGCACCTTTTTCCATGGCCAGATCTCACCTGAAAGCTTACATTTTACACTCAGCTTGATTGATGGGGGCTGCTTGGTGACTGGTGTTTGGTGTCCAGGCCATAGCTGTAGCCTCCCGCATCTACTACGAAGGCCTTTCGCAGCAAACAGCTTGTCATGACATGTTTTTGGGACCCAAGAAGCCCGTAGACTTCCAGGTTACACCGTGACGGAAGCCTTCTATGACTTTGGCATCGGCAGAGAGTGGCTGAGGCCGGTCGTGTGCTCCAAACAGCTGTGTGTCCTATTTGTCGACTAGTCAAGTAGTTGATTCTGACAGTTCCTTGACTTCAAAGCTTCAAAGCCAAGCTGTGTCCCAAGTCTGGTGCACCCTGTCTTTGGATTCACAATGCTTTGTATGATGACTTAATGACTTGCTTGGTTACCTGGTTACCTTTGAGGGTGTTCGAAAAACACTGACATCGAGACTCAAACATCTCAACCATTCCCAGTGAACCTGAAGGTGCGGGAAGACCCTCAGACCCTTTGAGCTTTTGGGGATGCCAAGTCCGTTCCTAGTCGCAATTGTTTAGAGCCTTCAAAGTGAAGCCTCCAGTTCCTGGAGCATCAATCAAGCTATCTTAGGGCGGTGGGCACCAAGTCTTGGAGCCGAATAATGTATAGGCTGTTGATGACTAAAGAATCCCATATATAGAGATGCTTTCTAAGTCTTGGGGGGTGTTTATTTGTAACAACAGTCGACAGCATTACAATACAACCCCGCTTGCTGCATGCAAACTTTTAGTCAGTGTTGACTTTTTAATTCAGTGCAGAGTTGTGGACAGGCGCTACTTCATTTTGAATGAAGAGACTGGTGAGCTAGGCCTGACACTTGGCAAGTTGCACCACCAAATGGACCCATCTAATCTCCGAAGGTCCTGGTCTATGTTTCTTCATGTCCTGGTATTTTGACAGGCTTAGACCGTGAGCGCTACTCGTCCTGGGACCCTCCTCCGAAGGACCGTGCGCATCGTTCCTCAGTAGTTCGAGGTTGATCAGCTTCGTCGGTATGATGTCTTCGAACATCTTCGAACAATTTCAATTTGAGTTTCATGAAGTTGGTCCAAGTCTATAGTTGTACCAGGCATGGGACTTGACGCTGGGAATGGCACGGGGAGAAATTGGCTGGTTTTTGTGCCCGTCAGGATCCAGAAGCTCCGAACCCTCGCATCTACTCGAAGCAGGAGTCTCAGAATGCTCTTTTCCTCAGGGCCGAGGGGGCAGAGATGTTCTTGTTCATCGTGTCGCCTTCCAGTAGTTCGTTGTTGGTGCTAGCGATGTTCTGGGGTAGCAGTGGGCCACTCAAGTGGATGTGTTATGTTTCATTTTGATTCAATGCCATACCTTCCAGCAAGGAAGAAATGGGAAGACCAAGACTTAAATTCAAAATGATTCCATGAGAAGCCTAGTTGCTACTTGAACGCAAGACGAATCCACACTTTCAGTATTCTGTTTTGGCGTTTTCCTAGGATTCAACGGGAGTCAAAGCAAATCAATACGAAGCCAATTGAACTTGGACATTCTGGATGCAGCTTCAATGTTAAACTACACTTCATGCTGAGAGAACGCAGAAGCTTCTAACGAGGAACATATGATGTAATTTACATATATATACCAACAGTATGCACACAGAAGATCACAGAAGTATATGATATGTGTTCTGAAGACATTGACAACATGAGCTTCAAAGGGTTTGGCTTTGGTATTGGTTTCATTTCCGTGTCACAGGTTTGTTTCCTTTGTGGCACTTCTAATGTTATCTATTTCATATTTGCAATTGGTCAGACACAGCGGCACAGTCAAAAATAAAGTTCAATAGTTCTGTTTCTTCGGTTTGGTTCCCTCGTTTGTGTTTCCAGATTGAAATAGATCCTTCTCCCCTCTACTCGGTCGGTCGCCGCCCGGGTCGGATCAGGTTGGATGCTCCGAGGCGCAGCGGTGTTATGCCGTGTGTTGACCGTTGGATCCCCCCGCTTTCGCCGCAGGGGATACCAGCGGAAAGGCTTCAGGCATCGCAAGAGGCAAGAGATCAAAGCTGATCTAAGGGGTCGTTGTGAGAGAATCAGCACATTTGCAGATGGAGGGAGCTTGATCTGATTCTAACATCAAGTATTCAACATCCGTTTGGCAACATGCACAGGAAATATGGGCACAGTGCTGGTGGCATTATCTATGCAAATCCAAGACAGAAATGAACCGGACGCCCTTCGTCATTGTGCCAAAAAATGCGGTGCCAGAGGTGGAACGAGAGCGTCTCAGAATGCTTTCCAGAGAGTCCTGCTCACAAAAATGCGAGTAAACACATTGTACTTTGTGACTTGGTTTGCTGTTCTCACCCCCTGCAGCTGACAGTTTCAAGCAGTAAAGCATAAAGAGGTCACTGTGAATATTATACTATAGTCCTATGGATAGTCAACATATGTCAACACGTTTGCATTGCTTCGGGATGTTTAGGGCGGTTTGGGGTTATACTCTAGACTTAGAGAAATGACTTGACACTCTGGACACACACATGCATGTGGGTCTTCACTCTGTTTTGCACGGTTTTTGGCAATGGTGACAATTCCTTTGTCATGTGTACATTCCTCTATTTCCGATTAGGTACCATGTCATCCTGGATTGTAATTTCAATCCTGTTTGGGAGGGCCCCATGTCATTTGCACAGTATACATGTATATATATATACATAATTTCGAAAAGGACGTGAGAGCACCTCTTTTCATTGAGACATGTTCAAGCACCAAGCTGACTGTCAGCTCGGCGTCTTAGCTTCCAGCAGTTCATGTGGATATCCCCTTGCTACCCAATTTCAAGCCATTTCAGCCTTAGCCATGCCGCATGACGGGGCCCAGCCCGGCCGTGCTGAGAAAGGCAAGAACTGGAATACCATGCAATGCGGCAAAGTGTATCTCTGTGATTCCTCAGCCAAACGTCTTAGGTGTTTGTTCATTTTGTTCACTCATGATTTATTTATTTTCAACACTATGCGGAACACACACACACACATGTATTCATATACTGTACATAGATTGACATAGATGTTGTGTGTGTATGTAATATGATGTAATATGTATATAACGCGCGGATTTTAAGGTGACCTTAAGTGTTTTTTGTCTACTGCTCAGCCTCCAAGCAGCATGTCGTCCGAATGCCCCACCATGTCGTCACTAGGCATGTGGCTGTGGGTCAATCCTCCAGGACCCTAGTTGCAACACATGGACACATGCTGCTGGCTACGTCAACCCACGCAGTTTTTGGGTTGTTCTGTGCTGTTCCGTTCATGTTCGGCAGGTGGCCGAGACTTCAGATGTCGACACGCTGAAGGTGCTGCTTGCAGGAACAGATGCCTCGGACTTGTTGAGTCAAGTGGTGGCTGCCTCAGCAACCAAACACCAAAACTTGTGTAGCGTGGGATTCCCAGATTTGTATAATTTTGTATACTTTGTATGATGCAATGATGCATGCAAGTGTTTGAGGATTCAGCTGGCCAAAGCGCTCTCCATTTGGCTGTCAGAGCAGTCCCTACTGATGAGGTAGCAGCTACAGTGGCTTGGATGTTCAAGAATATTCCTGACTCAGACCTCGCACATGATACACACAGGCACACATACACACACCCTCTCTTTCTCTCCTTTGCTGTTCTTTACGCTCAGAAAAGCTAGGAAGGCTTTTTTGACCCTGGGAGCCGCATGACCTGGGAAGCTTGGTGTTGAGAAGATCGTGCCATCATTATTTATTAGTATTATATATAGTTGCTATAGTAATTGCAACACTCACGGATTTTTTGTATGCGTTAAGGTTATTGGCACCTAACATGTGTTTCACACTCCACACTGGAGCTCATATTTGCACGGTGCTCGCAGGTCTCAACACTCATCGCTTCCAGAGCGCGATTGGAACAAGCGAACGCCCGAGGGGAGACACTTGGCGTTCGATTTGCCCGGCGTGCGAACGGTCAGCGGTTGAATGTGTGTCATTGAATCATTTCGCATTCTTTCGCAGACCACAGATCCGGATCCATGGGCATAGAATGGCATAGATTTCAGATTGCTGGAGACAAGACGGGTCGGGGGTTGGAACGGCCACTGGGCGACCAAAATTCGTTGGGTGGAGCCATAGTTATGTGGAACCTACAGGACATGGAGAACTAAAATGCAATCGCATTTCCGGTTTGCAGCACGGAGCTATATATTGATCTATAGGCTTATCACTTTCAACCTGCAACCATCAACATGACTGGATTGGATTTGCAACTGCAGCGAAGGACCCCGCTCATATTGGCGGTTCGCACAGCTTTGGCTGCAGCGGTTCCGGATGGTCCATGGCTACTGCCCATTCAGCTGATATTGGAGGCGATGGGGGCACTTTTCAGCAGGTAAATGGTTGCGTTTTCCGTTTGCCTGTTTGGTGCTAACATTTTGTTATAGTAGAATGCCCTTGCGGTGAAGCCTTGCTCGGTTGAAGCTGCAAAGGCCAAAGCCAGAGCGTGCGAGGCTTGGTTGCATCAATGTTTGCCAGAGGCATCCACAAGCAGTGCGTTTGGCTGTGGGTCTTGACTTGACCAAACTTCAGCATCCCCAATCAGACCTCTATTTTTGGGGATTCTTCAGAGCAAAGTGGAGATGTTGGGGAGGGCTATGCGCTTGTTGACCCACACCACACGCAAGCATCGTTCCATGTTTGAAGTCCTCTCGCAGGCCTTCTTTCATTTGGTTTTGCACTAAGGCAGCTGACCGACAAGGCCGTTCATCCTTGTCCTATGCTGCCAGTGCTGGCAGTGCCTCAACGGAGGATTTCGAGATACAATCTCACGAATACGTCGAAACTCATGAGTATGTTGCTTTCTCCTTGTTTATTCATGGCCTTTTTAGATGGTGTGGAGGTGAATGATGAGATATGATTGGGCTTCAGGATTCGTTTTTCATTTTATCTCGTTGGTTCGCCCGCCAAGGCCTTTCAATTTGCCGCATGCTTTTGACCTTCCGTGCGGATCCAACCCAAGCCAACTCCTTTGGAGCAACGCCACAAAGTTTGGCAGAGCGACAAGGCAGGCTGTGTGTCCGACCTGAATGGCATGAGTTGTGTTCCTCTTTTTGTATATGTAGGACTCAGATCTGCCAGGATTATTGACAGCATATGATATACTGCAGCAATTACTGCCGTCAGCAGGACGAGCTTCATTCTGCGTCGGCCTTGGCGACCTGAGGTCATGCCGAAGTCACCAAGCTTCTGGCTGAGGCCTAACTCACTGACGCATGACTGTCAGAGCCGAGAGGCACCAGTGCCCCCTACTGTAGCACACTGCCAGGTAGCTTCAACAGCCTCCAAGCCTGCAAAGAAAGCGAGTGACGAGGCCAAGGGCGCGAAGACTGCAAAGTGGCAGACAAAGAAGGAAGAACAAGGAAGTCAAGAGAGGCAAGGGGCAAAAGTGCACCCCACGGGCCAGATTCCTGTCACTAAGCTGCAACTTAGTGCGAGTCAAGGTGCTGTGGTTGATCGTGACATGCGACATGCGCTTGGTGAGCAAATACTGTGATCCATCTCAACAGTATCCGCTATTCAGACTATTCATGATTGAGAAATGAAATGCACTGAATTTCACGTCGCTGAGGAATGGCGCCAGAGTGATGAGCAAACGTGACTCAGCTGCGTTTTGGAGCATGATAGGAATCAGGAATCCTTGCAGATTCTGCGAGACTCAAGTGAAACTTACAGGAAGGAAGTCAAACGCCTCGTTCAGAAGTGGAGCTCCGCATCTTTCCAGCAATTGATGTGCCTCACTTGCAGATATTGACTTCACATGACTTCACCCCCCTGGTTTTGCACTTGGGTGACCTGTCGTGAGCTCCTGATTCTAGAGTCTAAAAAAGGTCATTGGTGAGATATGGCAAGATGTTTTGTTCTTGATGTCAATGAGCGTGATGTCTTTGAGCGGGTGACCTTACGTCCTTGTCAGACATACTTGATGCGGCCCAAGCCCCTTATATAGTATCCTTAGGACCGTTAAGGCCGGGCCCCATTCTCCACAAGCCACCTTTTCCAGCTGCATTCTTTTCGGGGAAGGCGGGAAGGAATCACAGCATATAATACAGAAACGGACCTTAGGCCTGGGAAGGCTGTCCTTTTCCTAACTCGTGGTTTTTCGGTCCATGGACGGATGTCACAGCACAGCGTGATGCTGTGCACCAGGGTGCACCCAGTGAGTCCAACCCTGGGGATCCATGCTATGATGCTTACACTCCCTGGAATCATCATGGAAGCGGAAAAGGGGCTCTTGGAGGATTTTTCATCTACAAATAGGTGGCCGTCCACTTTCATGATTCCGGGGAGTGTGCCGTGCTTTGAACATCTATTATATAACATCTATTAACTACGTGTTTTGATTGAAGGGCCAAGGCGAAGGAGAGGCACCACAGAATCGAAGTGAGAGTGCCAACACATGTGAATCACCTCAACCTGTTCAAAGACAATGCCAAGCTTGAGCTTTGTGCGTTATGAATGCAGGGGATTCAACATGGGGCGCTTTGATCGGTTAACGCTGGCCACTGCGAATGTTGTTTCGCTTTCTCTCGATTCCAGGGGTTCCTTTGTTCCCATATCCTGAGCTCCGTGTGGGTCTTCTTAGCAGGAGCTGCTCGGCCTTGTCAGGCAAGAATGCAAGATGCAGCGCATCAATACGCAAGATGCATCACACGAGGACTGGACAAGGATGTGGGTGCAAGATGCCTGCCATTGGAGCATGTTTGGGAATGACGATGCGAGTTCCAAAAAGGGTGAATGGGCAGGAGTCCTGAAACGGCAAACTGTGGTGTGTTCGTGAAGAGACCCTCAGTGGGTCAAAGCCCACCTTGAGGGGCTCATCGAGGAGCTATGCCAGCGCTTGCTGCAGCTACATGCCTGGGAACGAATGTCAGATGAGGAGCTCAAGCAAAGCTGCTTTTCACGAGGCGGAAGGGGGAAGTCAAGGTGTCGGAGTGTAGGTAGCTCCTTTATAAAACGCCAGATTTTGTTGGTGTGCTTTTTAATTCCAACGACTTGCCGCCCGGTAAATCAATCAAAATCAATCAAGTGTGGGTGTGGCGCAGAATGCACCTGCAACCTGAGGTCACCTCACACCAGTATATAAGTGATATGTATATATATATATGTAGATATGAAGCTCATACAGTATATCCCAAAAATCACCGTCACCTACGACATATTTACCTACATGGTCCGATGGGTGTTGCTTGGTCAACGGGAGTCACTCTCTTACTCGCCATCACTGCCTTGCTGCCTCCAGGAGTTCCGTTTCCGAAGTCCTGCTTCACCTCGGCGTATTCGGTGAACCGTGAGGCGGACCGATCCACAACCGCACTAAGTGCGGGCGGACCGATCCAAGGAGAATGGTCGATCAAGAGAACCAAAAAAGTCCAAAACGACCGCATTGCCCAGGCAAGCGGAAAGGTAACAAAGCATAGGGCCATGACAAATTCAAACCTTTTCTTCAGTAATTTGTTCCTTGTTTGGTGTGTAGGTTTGTCATATTTTGTCATTGTTCCTCAAAGCCAGAGTCATCCAGAGTCAAGATCATTCACATGCACGGATCCATCTCCCCCTTTGGGCTGTGCACTGAGGATGTGACGTCATTTTCCGCTTGAAGGAGGCGGTGTTTGGCCTTCGCCCCGGTCCATAGCTGAGAGGATTAGTTGAGTAGGACCAGGATTTGAGAGACAGACAGAGAGACTAGAGTTGACCAAGATTAGTTTGAATTTGGTTGAGTCTTTGCAATTGTGGTTGGCTGCAAGAGTAGGCGAACACACCCATTGGTTGGTGGGTTGCTTTGATCCAATGCACATCCATGTGCAATAATATAGTCATGTATATGCATTATCTGAATACTGAATGCTCCATCAATGCTCGAGTTGCCCTTTTGCTTGTTTTGATGTTTCTTTTGAGGAGAGTTTGGCCCGCTCCCTGTCGCACCGGCAGATGCTGCAAGCCAAGTGGGCCAAGCGGCTGACACTCCATCAGCGGTCCAGCCCCCGACTGTTCGCGAAAAAACAAGGAGATGCGACATGCGGATTGGTCATCATGAGCACCGTCACCGTCCATGCAAAAGCATAGGCTGCAACAAACGGTGCCACTGGACCGGCCAACTTCAATTTGGGATTTGGCCAACGTTTTCCCTCACTGGACAACCATATAGCCTGAGCTTGGCCCGAAGCCCTCCCCAGGATTGAATCCTATTAACCTTGCTTTCAAGTGCAGCCTGAGGCCAGGCCAAAGGCCAAGCCTGCAGCCAAGGCGACTTCCCCAAAGGCGGAGAATCAGGCAGTATAGAGCGGATCAAGGGTTTTTGGGGCGTGTTCTGTATTTATATTAATCCTGGACTAGGTAGCATAGTGCGGCCTAGTTTCTTCTTCCATTGTGCTGTTCTGCCTGCACGTCGCTCTTTTCGTCGAACGTCCCTCCAGATGTTTTGTTCGATCTTAGTCTCCCATGTTGGTTCCGTCTTGGAAAGTGGACGAGTCATGCCCGCCAGAGAGCGAGAGAGAGAGAGAGCGAGAGAGAGAGAGAGAGAGACAGAGAATATAGGAAAATATGCGCAGGAAACTGGTCATGCTTGTAGATTGGTTCATGTATGTTCATGTTCTATCTACTCCAGGATGACTATCTATACGTGCTACTGGCACCTCAATGCTTGCAGAATATTAAATTGCTACGCATCAGTATCAACCATCTCCGTAGACACCGAGGGTGTTTTGCAACCACGCTGTGTGGATTTGGTGCGGTGAATTTTGTCCTACACCAGGCCGGGAAACCCTCGGATGATTCCTGGAAGTCCGACGCCCGTATGGAGCGGTTGCTGAAGGAGCGTAGAATATCACAACACATTACAAGGACGATTAGAACACTATTGCTTTTTTTTTTCTCTCTCTCTCTCTCTCTCTCTTTGTATTGAAATCCTATGCCTGTGGCATTGCCAATGATATTGTGCTATGATATGATATTACAGTGCCAGTGAAACCTTTGTGGAGTTGAGCAGGTGCCAGGTGCACATTTTCACTGTCAGGAATTTCCCAGCTTCAGTGGCCCTGCACCGGGCCCAGACAGTGTACATTGGAATGATGCAGAGCTGCGACAGTGACTTGGCTGCATAACCAGAATGCTGGGGGAATGACCAAGGACAGAAGAACAAGCATCAATTACATAATCCACTTGGATATCGAGGACTTTTTTGCCACGTAGGAGAATGCAACAGATGGATGGCAAAGCCCATCCAGTCTGGTACCGTTGGTCACAGCAAAACCTACAGTTTTCCACTTCTAGACGGGCAGGAACGGGGCATAGCAACATGACATTGTTACTTTTGTAAGAAGCGGCCGCTATGCGGCCACATGACGATGGGCAAAGAATGGATACTTGTAGGTTTGATCGCCGGGCTGTCCATCCTGTTCTTAAGCCACTGCATCCCTAGCGTCTTTTGGATTTGCATCTCACACACAATCACACACGCACACACACACACACACCTCTCCGAGGTATTTCTTCTCCAATGGATACCTTCGTCCCCGCTCGTCACGAACGGCGGTGCCTTGGGCAAGTCATTTTGACCAGAAAGAGGTCTCCAAATCCATACACTTGGGCTAATAGACTAAATAAAGGATCAAGAAACTTAAGATTCATATGTTGAGTCTGAACCTCATTGATTCTCAACTCCATGAAATGATACCGTGATGTCACCAACGCTGAGACCAACACGTCTGCAGCTCCGCGCGAGTTGCTGCGGCATTTCGAGACCCTCGGCCTCCATCCCACGGCCAGCCCGGAAGAGGTGAGGCGTGCGTATCGCGCCTTGGGCCCGCAAAACATCGGCTGGTTCACTTGGAAAGGGGAACATATGTTTTTGAGAACAAATGGCCATCGGAGTTTGGCCTGTGTCTTGGAACATGTCCTCTTATGTCTTGCAGGGCGGATGCTTTTTGCGATCCTGAGGTGGTCTTGCGCTGAAACATCACCCGGTGACTCGGTCAGCTTCATTCAGCCGAATGCTTTTCAACAAATGCATTTCGCCCAAAGATCCCTCAATCAAACGTATGCAAACCAGGTCCAATCTCTCCGTGCTTCCGGCATCTGCCAAAGCTTTGTTTCAGGACAAGAAAGCAGACTCAAGCAGCACAGACTTCCAGCGCATCCAGGAAGCCTACGATGCATTGTCCTCTCGGCGCGTGTGACAGAAATTGCGTGAGGGTTGCAGCATCTGGCTAGTGCAGAACACCAAGTTCGGATTCTTTACTGCTACAACATTTGTAACAATAGACCACACACACACGAATTTGCATGTTGAGAGACTGTCCAGTGATTGCTTGGTGTAAGATGGTGTAAGATGTGGTCATGCCATAATGATAGGGGCCAGGGACCTGTGTTTGAAAGAGAGTGCCGTGATCCCTATGTTGTGGTTGGTCGGACCATTCTTGAATGTTCGGTGCTAATTGCTGGGCTCAAGTCACAGCTGAAAGCCAGCCGGCCTCACGCGGCATCATGCAAGGAGATAGCTGCTCAGCGACAAGCGTTGGGCTTTTCACATGAACACATGTCTTTGGAATAGATGAGATAAGATGAAGCATGATGAAGATTATACAACCATCCGCTTGATTAGGGCCACGAGAGTTTGAGGCGAATTTGTAATGAATGTTCACTGACTCTTCAACGTCTCTCTTACCTTCGCTTGGGACCCTTGGACTCTTGCAGTTAGTCGGGGATGGACATAGGCACAGACACTGCACCAAATCTTTGTCTGGCTACTCGCCACAGGTCTTTTGCCCTCTTTGTGGGGCCCGTGGATCTTGACTATATATCCCTCACACGGTCACGGGCCTGTCTCAAACCTGCAGGGTCTTCCTTCCCTACTTGCTTAAACCCATTGGTTGGGGAGATCCCGCTTTTGAGTCAAAGCCAACGCAGAGATCCCATGGCCTAGGTGGTGGCATGTTGGGCGGATGCATGGGGATGCCCGGCATGGGGATGCCAGGCATGGCTGGCGCCTCAAGTCCGCTTTTTTTGGTGGAAAAATCACCATGATGCAACAAGAAAAGGCAAGCACGTAGCTCGATAGAATGTATCATGAAAGCATTCTTGTTCAAAGAAACAGGAGCAGGTCCTTGTCAGATGCAGAGACCAATTTTCTCCGCCAAGGCGTCCGGCATGGGAATGGGCATGCCTCCCGCTGGCATGGGCCTGCCAATGGGCATGAACCCTTGCATGGGTAGTATGCAGGGCATGCACCTTGAAAGCAATCAGACTGATATCTCATATCTCAGCATTGAAAGTTTAAGGGGGAGTGTGCGTGATTCTGTGCCGCCTTGTCTAACAATTTGGTCATGCCAGCTGTGGCCAGCTGTGGCTTGCCCTTTGTTCAATCCAAGGCCTTCAATGGGCATGAACCCCATGATGATGATGAACCCCATGATGGGAATGATGTGTTTGCCTTATGCTTTATACCACTTTGAGACATGTCGCTCGCATATGTTTGGAATCGAACACGTTACTAACCGTTACATCACTCATTCAGCCAACCGCTTCGCACCCGATGTTTGTGGTCGGCCTCCAGAGGATGAACCCAATGGGCAGCAACTTTTCACCTGCAGAGGCCCGACCACACAGCCCACCTCCGGAGGAAGTGATCCCCCTTGAAGACTGTGCGCCCAACTGGAGTCCAAGCACCGCGGCAATTGCAGACTGCATCTTCATGCCTGTTCATTTGCCAGTGGGGAGCACAGCAACACGGAACAATTGAATCACTACAGAGTGGAAGACTGTGCACTTCGATGCACCATACATTTACTCAACATACTAAGGTTAGTATATTAGTTATATAAGTCTTGAGACTTGCAACACATTATGCGGCGTTTCAACACGAGCGCGGGTTGCGTCCCGAGCATCTTCGGTGCCTGCGTTTCGGATGCCCACCTGTTGATAGGCTCCTGCTTCTTCTCCTCAAGAGGGCTTGGTGGAGCGATTCTCGGCTGCAATGGCCCATGACTCCACGGGCGAGAGACTTTTTTGCTGGGCAATGCTGGTGGGAACCCGTAGTCCAGGTGCGTGTTGTTCATGAAATCACTTGCGTTATCAACTTGAGTTTAGACTTTAGAGCCTGGATGGTGCACTTGCATTTGTTCAACCAGCACACGCACGAGTTTTCAAGCTACTGGTGACGTGGCTTCAGGAGCTCCCAAGGACAAGAAAAAGGGCAGAGGGAAGGGCAAGCTCGCTCCAAATGCTGAGCATTGCTACTTAACTGAAATATTGCACTTGCAACGCGTGTGGATACATGACAGTCGAGGAGCCTGGTGTTTTATGAGAGGATTTTTGCTGTGTGGCCGATTTCTGTGTGGGTGGCACATCATGTGTGACAGTGCAAGGCCAGATGCCCATCGACCCGCAGGCCAGGCAACTTATGCATATGTCTGGAGTGCACCTTGAATTGACTTGACTCCCATCAAAGGGGTGGGGCCCAAGTCATGCGTCATTTACTAGCCCCATTTCAGTTTCCAGAGCCAATTTGTCGCAGTGCCAGCAAATCTCTTTGGGTTTGGCGCTTGGCCCTTGGTACTTTTCGAACGGATATGTGCATGCCAAAGTTCCAAAGTGCGAGTTTTGAAGCTGAAGGATGGCTTTGTCTCGCATTGTTTCGCTCCATCCTCGTGAAACGAACTTTAGTTGGACATATTTGGACCATTTTGGACCAACACTAGCACGTGCTGACAGGGCAAGGGCATACATCGTTCACACACACGCTGGAACAGCTTTGTGGTTCATTGCTGCGGAGGGTATTCAGTTCTTCTGCCACCGACATGTTCTATAACTATTTAATTTGCAGTTTTGCGTTCCCATTTCAAACAAGTTCTGTTTTTAATGCTCGTAGTCTGGCTGTAGCTGGTCTTGCACATTAAAAATTGAAGCAGTTTTCTATAGAATGGTATGAAGTGCCCTTTGTTTATACCCGGAACAAGGAAGTGTTCGGTGGGATTATATATAATTGTACATATATATGATGACTCGTGATTCTCACGGGGAGTGTCACGGAGCAAACGTCAGTTTGCGGCTCAGGCCTCCCCCTTGGAAGGTGGTAGGGGGAGCCCGCTGCGCCGCAATGGAGAGTGCCACACAAGAGTTGGCGTTGTGTGGCACTCTGGCCGGGTTGACAGACCCGGATGTCGAGGCCTTGGTGGCACTCCAACCCAGTGCCACCAAGCTCGCAACTCTGCGAGGATGCCGTGGCGAGATCTTGGATGGGATTCTCGCTGCGGCAAAGAAGAAGAGGGAGGCCTTCGAGGTCACGGTGGCCGATCTGCGCGAGCTGGTGAGGCAGTGCGACAACAGGTCGGCGAACATCCATCGAGCTGATGCTGGCCGAGGATCGCAGGAGCTACTAGAGGCTCATTTGGCAGATCAGCGAGCGAAGAGAAGGCGGACCTTCGAAGGCCTCGAGGAGAAGGAGGTGATCGAGAAGATCAAGATGGTGGGAAGTGCAAAGGTCACGAAGTGGCCAACCCGACTCGGGAAGAAGTTGCACATGGCTGGAACGGACTTGGCTTTGCGGGAGCTGGCCGAAAGGACAGAGCGAGACAGGTGGCTGTCCGAGCTTCGCGACATCATGAAGAGGGCCAAGCTCCCAGTGGTGGCACGTTCGAGTGAAGAATCACTGCTGCTCAGGATCGCCAAGGGCAGGCGACCTAACACATTGAGAAAGCATGTCAAAACTTGGCATAAGGTGGAGCAGTGGCTGCAGTCCACCTACAGCTGGTCTTGGCCCACCTCGCCCACAGACTTCGCCGAGTACATCGAAGCTATCGTGCAAGAACCTTGCGCACGCTCTGCACCAGAGGCTGCTTACAAGACGCTCATGTTCTTGGAGTACGCGGGCGAGGTCAATGAGGCAGAGTTCATACATCGCTCGTCGGCGGTCAAGAACGCCATCGAGGAAGCTCACATGAGGCTGGCGTCTCGGGAGATCAGGCCATCACGGCAGGCGTTGCTCATCCCATTGGCTATTGTGGAGGCCATGGAGGAGATGGTGTTTTGTGATGACGCCAAGCCGTTCTCAAGAGCATACGCATGGTTCCGCCTGGTCAAGATCTGGACTGGCATGCGCTTTGACGACACGAGGGGCACGCCAAACCGCGGCATTGAGCTGCGAGAGACACACCTGGTGGGAACCATCCACAAGTCCAAGACATCGGGGCCAGGCAAGCGCATCCTGCTGTTGCCCTTCTATGTCAGCAAGGAGGCTTGGGTGAGCAGGTACAACTGGCTGGAGGTTGGATGGAAGATTTGGACCCACATGGGCATGGAAGCGGGCATGTTGACCCGCGATTTTATGCTGGCCTGGCCCACGGCAGACAGGAGATCCTTTGCTCGGAGGATGGCGGACTACTCGACGGCATCCGCTATGTCCCAAGCTTTGTTTGGGGAACTGTGGGCTACCCAAGAGGGAAAGCGGGTGTCGCTGCTGTTCAATGGAATCGGCACGCTGTGGACAGAACACAGCGAACGTGCGACCATTAGGTCGTGGGCGGCCGCGGCCAGGATTCCACCGGACATCAGGCGACAGATGGGTCGCTGGCGACCGGCAGCAGATGAGTCCTATAGAGCGGGTGGCAAGAGCCAACATCCTGAGGGCCCAAAAGGTCATCGCCTCGTTCCTTCGAGACAACAAAGGCAGGGGCGATCCTATGGACGAGGCGGCTGTCTACGAGGCCGTAGGGCTGCGCATGGGGCTGTTGGGCTATCCGGACGAAGCACTGGAAGAGCAGGCGGGCTTGCTGCATCGCTTTCAATCTGAGGAGCTAGCTGATGAAGCGAGCTGGAGGCCGAAGTGGACCCCATCAGGTCCAGTGGTGTTAGTGGAGCCCGATGATCCAGGCGACATCAACGATGCAGCGACGGACACAGGTGATGCTGGCTTCGAGTCCGAAGGGGAGCTGGGGCCAGTGGCAGGAGATGATGTGGTGCCGGCGGAGGCTGTGGCAGGCAAGTTCGTGGTGTCCATAGTTGGGCGATCGCAAACGCGAATGCTGCATCGAGTAGGAGAGTGCCACCGAAGACCAGGTGAGCACTATGCACAGTTTGAGATTTTGGGAGATGAACCTCCCGACCCGAGCAAATACCATCACGCATGCCAGAACTGCTTCGGCAAAGGGGCGGCCGTGGCAGGAAGCTCTCTGGAAGACGACAGTTCTGGAGAGGTGGACTCATCGGATTCGATGGAGTCGGAAGTTGAGGCATCGTCGTGAGACTCGCAGGACTCACGGTGAAAAGGGGGGGAGAGATCTGCACAGAGGTGAAGTGTTCGGCATGCAGTTCGCACGAGAAAGCCGGGCACAGGCGAAGGAAGGCCTGCTGGTGCAGGCGAGAGGGAGTGCTAGAGCACGACAAAGAGTTGTGTGATTTCTTGTGTTGCCTCACTTGTTGCGTGTGCATCGTGTTTCGAAGTCGTACCGGTTGAGTTGAACTGACAGGTGGATGTGATTCATGATGGGGCTCCAGCCCGAGGGGGTCGGCCGTACCGGTAAGCGGGGGGGACCCTTTCTCGCGGGGGAGGAACGCGCCCTCGCGAGCACTCATGGCTGGGGCGGCTGGACCAGCAGCGGCGCCGGGGCCGGAGATCGGCCATGACACGCCGGGGAGGCGTGCGAACGCCATAGCGCTGCTGGACGCAGATCTTCATGGCTTGCTGCAGATCAAGGAGGTCAGCGAGACGATACAAGCCAAGCTGTCGGTGGCCAAGGTTCGTACAATCGGTTGAGTACAGTGGCCGACGACAGAGCTGCTATGAGGAAATTTTGTGCTGACGTCTTGGGCTTGGACGAGACGAACGACGTCATCGACATCGCTTCAATGGTGGATTCATGGGAGTCCTCGTCTACCAGGATGACGGTCAGGCACAAGGCCGAGGCAGAAGCGGGACTGGCAAGTCAGCCTAAGCTAGAGCCTTGAACAAAGTGGAGATCCAGGACCTTCTGGCGAAGTTCGAGGCGGTCCATGGCATCAAGCTGGAGGACAGGAGTGTGCCTGCCGCATCCACCTTGGAACAGATCTTCGACCAGGTGGAGCAAGGCGAACTGAAGAACATGAGCTTGGTGCAGTTCGTGAGCCGAGAAGACTCGGAGGCTGACGTGTTGGGCGCCACGATTGAGAAAGGTACAGGGGCACTGAAGGTGAAGAAGGGCTATGGCGAGTGTCCAAAGCCCAGGACGCCCGAGGAGTTTAGGCGCCGCATGGCGGTGGTCTCCCACTCGTACCTCTTGGCTCAATTGAAGTTCCCGCAGAAGGCCATCCTGCGGGACTTGCAGCCCATGCACTTTCTGAAGTACCTGGACCTGATGCTTGGTGAGCATGTCCTGGGCCTCAAGGCTAAGAACCAGGACGGAGAGACAGTGGCATCTCCGGAGTTCGATTTGGTCCTCTCCTATGACTTTCAGGTGAGGCGCTCCATGGTCAAGTTGGCGAACGAAGGTCGACTGCTCCACGAGGCCTTGAAGGAGTCCATGCTGGATACAACGATCAAAGAACGATACTTCTTGACACCGAATGTCTACTCCCAGGTAGCAGGGCATGCAAGGCAGCCGCCTTGGAGATCCAGGAGCCCACCAACGGAACGTCCATGGGGAGCAGAACGTGGTCGAGACTGGGACAAGGGCAAAGGCAAGTCCAGAAAGGGCAGCTCGAAAGGCAAAGGCAAGAAGGGAGGCAAACAGCTGCATGACCGCACCCCGGATGGACGTCAGATCTGCTGGCGTTGGAACAATCCCAAGGAAAGGTGCCGCTTCAACTGTGGTCGCCTGCACGCGTGCCAGATTTGCTTCGGTCAGCGTCCAATGCACGCGCGCGATGGCAGTGGCAAGAGCAAGGATACCTCTGGGGGAGTCTCAGAGGGAGGAGGAAAGGGCGCCTGACGGCGCGAGAAGGTGGATCCGGCCCCAGATCCGCCGGTGACAGGGGACACAACGAGGGGCACACGTCAAGAGGAGGTCATGAACGTGCTCTACCTCTTCAGTGGAGCACAAAGGAAGTCATCAGTGACGTCTGTGCTGCAAGACCTTTGCCAAAACAAAGGACTTCGATGCAAGGTGCACGAGGTCGATATCCAGAACTCTCCAGACTGGGACTTGACAAAGGGAGCCGTGCAGCAGGCACTTCTTGACAGGATCAAGAAAGGAGAGTTCGAGGTGGTCTTGGTGACACCTCCGTGTTCAACTTGGTCACGGGTGAGGGGAGCCAACTGCAGAGGCCCACCAGCGATTCGTTCAAAAGACTACCCGTGGGGGTTTCCATGGTTGTCGTCACGCCACCAGAAGGATGCAGAGCTGGGCAACATCCTCATTGTCTTCATGCTGGAGGTGCTTGAGACCTTGGGAGATCACCCAGTGGCCGCTTCCGGCCGAGCAATTATTATCTTTGGAGAGCACCTGAGGATCTTGGAGTGATTCGGCGGGAAGAAGACGGCATGGTCATGGAGCCGGCTTCCATCTGGCAGTTGCACCGCATGCGAGCTCTTCTCTTTGAGCGTGCCGCCCTGAATCTGTTCACGGTTGTCTTCAATCAGTGCTGCTGGGGGGCACCATACCGCAAGCCTACTCGCCTCATCACAAACCTCCAGGCATTTCAGCAATGGGGCGCTTGCCAATGGCCAGTCTTCGATGCTTATCGCAACCCCATTCTCGAGTGCACCTGTCGCACCACGGTTACACTGGCCAGATCTCGAGAAGACACGACATCGAACACCTCCATCTATCCTATGGCCATGGATGCCGCCTTGGCCCAAGCTATCCTGGAGCAATGGGCTCATGCTCCCCTTCCAGCTAAAGAGGGGGAGGTGGAAGGGAAGCAAAAGCAGAAGCCGGTGGACCCAGGTGGAGGTAGAGAGAAAGGGCTAAAACGGAAGCTGGCGGAGGTCGACAAGCAAGAGAAGGAGAAGGTGGAGGCGGAGTCTAGCTCGAAGAGGGTGGCCCCAGCTTCTGGACCGCCCATTCAGGTTAGTTACAAGGGCGAAACCAGGGCCCTCCATGATGGAGCAGGTCTTTGCTCTCCTGGTCGATGGCCGGTGGGGAAGAGGAGGTTGCCTGTCACGGAGAGAGAGAGGGCCACGATTTCGTGGTTTGAAGAATCATTCGAGTCCTGGTTGTCGACGATTGGAGCGGACAAGGCGAAGGAGATCTTCTGGTCTATGGCGGCAGGGAAGGTCAAGGAGTCTCCGTTTGGAGAGGAGATGGCGGAGGCGAGAAGGGCCTTAGATGAGCATCTGGGTCGATGGGGCTTGAGCCCGTGTCGTGCAGAAGGAGACCGGCACTCGGAGATCAACTTCAGAAGATTGCGGGCACTAGCTGAGACCCTCGAGGACGAGGATTTCGAGTTCCTGGGCAAGGTAGCCGAGAGGGGAGTCAGGCTCGGGGTGGATTTGGAGATGCCTCGAACTCCTCTGGTCTACGAAGAGAAGACCAAATGGACGGTTGATGCCACAGACGAAGTGATGAGGGACATTCTGGCAGACAACTATGAGTCCGCGGAAGAGAACGCGGAAGACATCGCCAGACAGGTCCTTCAGGAGGTTGAGAACGGCGCGATAGTCCGAATGATGGAGCATGAAGCCAAGAGAAGGTTCCGGGGCAGACTGGCAGTTGCAGCCCTAGGTGCCGTGCCTAAAGAGCTCGGTACCAAGAAGGTGAGGCTCATCCACGACGGCACGTACAGCGTGGACGTCAACCGCAGGATCAGGGTGCGGGACAAGATGAGGTTTCCATTGATCGACGACGCCACGGCCGTGTTGAGGCAAGTGCAGGCAGAGGTCGACAGAGATCGGGGAGGCATTCGCTTCTCGTTGCTGTACGACATAGCAAGGGCTCACAAGTTGATACCGGTGGATGAGCAGGACTGGGGCCTTCAAGCGTTCAAGTTGCCAGGTGACAAGTCCGGGGACATCTTCGTGCACACGAGGGGCACCTTCGGTGTGGCCAGCGCCGCCTACTGGTTTGGAAGGGTCATTGCAGTGGCCGTGAGGTGCAGTCACCGATTGTTGGGTCGGCGCTTCGGGCTGTTGCATTTGATCTATGCGGATGATGGTTGGCTGGCGGCAGTCGGCAAGGACTTCTGGCGGAGGATGATGATGTGGTTCTTCGTGTACGAGCTCCTTGAGATACCTGTCACTTGGGCGAAGGTCAGAGGAGGCACAGAGGTAAACTGGATTGGCTACTGCTTGAACATCCACACCTACCAGAAGGGGATCAACCTGTCTAAGAGGACGTGGATAGTCAGCTGGATAGAGAACAAGCTGGAGCAGGGCGGTGTGGTTGGAAGAGGGCTGAAGTCGGTGCTGTGGCGACTAAGCTTTGTGGCTGGAGCGCTACGACATGTGAGGCCTTTTCTTGCCCCATTGTTCTCTTGGGCATCAGCTCTCTCGCCGGGGACGTTCTCCAAGCTGCCAGATGCCGTGATCATCCTCTTGGAGTTCGTGAAGGAGGAGGTTCAAAGGAGGCCCATGCGGCCGGCTGAGCCGCTGGAGAAGGATCCAGTGGACATCTTTCGTGTGGATGCCAAGGCTGCAGGAGAGGACATTGTGATCGGCGGCTGGGAGACCGGCGCGGCTCCAGACACGGAGTCTGCGAAGTGGTTCTCCTTCAGGCTGAACCGAAGGGTGGCGCCCTGGGCCTATCTGAAAGGTGACCCCTTTCGGAATATAGCCACCCTTGAACTGATCGGGGTGTTGGTGGCAGTCATGGTGCTGGCTCCGAGTTCTACTTGGGCAAGCGGAAGTGCAGCCGTGACGTTGACGGCTTTGACTGACAACTTGGCCAACACCCACGTGCTAAGGAGATACGGCTCCAGCCGGTACCCGTTGTCGATCGTGGCTATGGAGCTGGCGGTTCAACTGGACATTGTCGGCATCGACTTGCAGCTGCAATGGGTGCCTCGGGCGCAAAACCAACCAGCTGACGACCTCACCAATGACAGGTTCGATGATTTCTAGGATCAGAACAGGATTGAGGTAGATTTCGAGAAGCTGCCTTTCAAGGTCATGGACAAGCTTCTCGACAAGGCGGGTCAGCTGGATGCGGAGCTCAGGCTTTTCAAAACCTCGAAGGAGGCCAAGCTGGCGCAGTTGAAAGAAGCTTCGATGGCAGCTGGAGGCAAGAAGAAGAAGGGCGAACTACGGTGGAAAGATCCTTGGTGAGGACGGACGGGAGTTTGAAACTGAATTGTTTAAGAGTTTGAAACCTCCACCGTAGGTCCGTTGTGGTAGTAAGGTTAAGCTGGGAGCAAGGTTGTGCAGACCCATCTTCCAGCTAAAGAAGGGGGAATAGGAATGATAGGTCGCACATGAAACCTCTCTAACTTG